ATGCTTATAGCACAAACTACCAAATATCCTAAGGTTTCTGACACTGGGTTTCATATCAGTTCAAACTGTTTCAGGCACCTTTCCCTCCAACTTCTTAGTAGGACACTTATTCAGCAGATATACTGCTGTATTTGCAGCTTCCCCCCACAGATATTTAGGCAACCCCTTCTCCTTTAACATGCACCTGACCATATTCAGAAGAGTTCTATTCCTCCTCTCAGCCACTCCATTGTGCTGAGGCGTGTAAGGTGAAGTAACTTCATGCATAATACCATTATCTTCAAAGAATCTGGTAAAATCAGCTGAAGTATATTCCCCTCCTCCATCAGTTCTAAGAGTCTTGATTAAGTTTCCACTTTGATTTTCAACAAGCCTTTTGAACTTCATAAATACTCTAAGCACATCACTCTTATACTTTAGCATATAGATCCACATCATCTTGCTAAAGTCATCTACAAATGTAACAAAGTATTTGTTACCTCCCAAAGTAGACTGCTCAAATGGGCCATACACATCTGAAAACACTATATTCAGCACTCCAGTAGACCTTACAGTCACTTGATGCTTGTAAGTGTCTCTATGTTGCTTCCCAGCTGCACATTCTTCACCACACACCTTATCTGGCAAAGTGATATGTGGAATCCCCACCACCATATCCTTATTATGTAGCTGCTGAAGACTTTTAAAGTTCAAATGACCCAACATGGCATGCCACAACCAGGTGTCATCTTGAGCAGATATAGCTTTCAAACTCTGCACCTCAGCTGCATTCACTTGAGCCTTAAACGTCCTATTCTTAGACAAGGGAACCTTAAGCAATAGCAGATCACAAGGATCATATAGTTCCAGATGATTGTTCTTTAGGACAGTCTTGAAACCCTTCTCAAGTAATTGTCCTAAACTCAGCAAGTTACATTTCATCTTAGGAACAAACAACACTTCTTCTAAGGCAACATTCTTTCCATTTTTACAAGTCATGACTACATCACCAACCCCTTATACTTGTACAGCACTAAGATCAACAAATCTCACACTACATTGCTGTTTATCACAAAAATTTACTAACTAGGATTTGTGACCTGTCATATGATTGCTACATCCTGTATCCAGATACCAGACATCACCAATGTCTGAGTCTTCACATGTAGTAGTCATGAGCACAATTGGTTCATCTTCACCTGAAATTTCTTCCTCAGCAGTATAGGCCTCTTCTTCTTTATTCTTACTCTTTGGCCTCTTATCCTTCCCTTCACCAAACCAACACTCATCTGCAAAATGTCCCCACTTCTTGCAATTGTAACATTAGATCTTCTTCTTGTCAAATTTCTTCTTCTGGGTCATTGGTTTATCAGATTTATCATTAGGAGCATTGTCAGATCTATGGGATTTTTCATCACTTTGAATCTTACCCTTTCATTTCCCTTTCCCCATTTGGTCACTTTTCTTGGCACCTCCTTTCTTGAATTTGTGAACAAGAAGAGTCTGCTCTTGCAAATCCTCAGTATCTCTTTCCATCATTTTTTGTTCATAAATCTCAAGAGTGCTCTTATCTCCACCAGAATGACTTTGTTCTAGGATCTTCCAGGATTCTTGACTCGTCTTGGCCATGGAGATCTTCTGAAAATGCACATCATCTACAGACTGGTGAAGAAGAAATAAAGCTTTACAATCTTTCTTCTTGGCATCACGATAATCTCTGCGTTATCCTTGAGTTGGATGCTTTCCCAGGCTCAGAATTCCTTCTTCGATGACTTCACCGACTTCTTGGAATCCGAAGATCACTTTCATCTGTATACACCATTTATCCCAGTTCTCCGCATCAAGAACTGGTAAATTACCAAGAAATCCGCTCGAATTCGACATTTAGAGAACCCGATCAAAACTCAGGTAATTGCAGCGCCGTGCGTGGTGGTTAATCAGTCCGGAGGAGCGATGTGCTCTGATACCAATTGATAGAGAGGAAGTTATTACTGTGTTAACTAACTTTAGGAGAAGAGGGAATTTTTATTAATTTCTCGGTTTATTCATCACACGCATACATCATTAATATCAGTCTTACTATTTATAGTAAGACTCAAGAGCACAATACATCACACACACCTGCACACACCGTATTACTAACACTTTGAATTATTTGCACAACATTATGTTCATACATTTTTCTCAGCCTCTTAAGCGCATCTAAAAGGTGCAAGTTTCGGGCTAATTGAGAATACTTTTGAATTTCCACCATGTGCTCTTTTTGAATGGTGCACAGAATAATCGGGCCGTATTTTTAAAAAACACAACTGCAGAGTCACCTTATGAATATGTTGGAACTTGGAACGTATCACTCATGCGGATCCAAACACACACACTGACACACACATAGTAATTGGAACTGGTAAAACATTAATCACATGTCGTTGAGAAGTACACGCATCAAGAGTAAAGAGAGAAAAATAGAAGGTAACGGAGTAAAACAAGTTTCATTGACAGCCCATTTGGTAGCACCAAAATAGGCTGTTTTGGCTGATTCTGGTGAAAATTATGAAGTTCTGGCTGAAGTGACTGTATTGGCTAATTCTGATGGTTTAAGAAAAATTATTTTTAAAATATATTTGATTAATAAAATAAAGAAAAATTATATGTAAAATAGCTAAAATAGTCATCTAAGTAACTTCAGCCAATACCGCCCGAAAAGTAACTCTAACCTTACTTTTTCTGCTTATTACACAGTTCAGCGCGCGGAAACAAAAATTACGTGTTTGGTGAAAAAGTTGACTGATAAGCCTGATAAGCCAAAAAATAATGCTGCCAAATGGCCTCTGAATCTATTTTTGTTAACATCACAAATTGAGATTATTTTTATAGACATGTCTAGTAGGGATTATTATTATTATTATTACAAAATCCCTAAAAAGTTAAGATTATTATATGAACTTTGCATAATTTTCAGAAGCACTTTTCTATGTAAGTTTCAAAATTTAGTACTTTTCAATAAAAATTAGGGATGGCAACGGGGCGGTTCGGGGTCGGGTATACCATTACCCGTACCCGCCCCGTTTGATAAAAAAAATTCCCCGAAACCGCCCCGTTACCCGTCGGGTATTTTTTACCCGCGGGTAACGGTTTTCCCCGCGGGTAACGGTTTCCCCGCGGGTAACCGTTTTATTAAAAAATAATTTTTTTTCTTCAAAATTAGTATAGATCCTAAAATGATTATTAACTACCATTGACCACCTAAATTTAAAAAAAAATTAAAATTAAATAGTACCACAGATAAAGTTTTTTAAAACATGACAAAAAGTTATAATCGTTTGAATCTAATATTCACAAATTATATATGTCTAGATTCAAATTGAATCTCTTACCACATCAACATCAAAAGAATAAGTCTTGTCTCGATAGTAAAAACTAAATATGAATCACAAAAACATTTAACTTCCAAACATTCAATAAGCATACCCCCACCAACATTCAACATCTAAATTAATTTAAGAACAATAATGTATACAAGTAACATAATGAAAATGGGAAGTTTTTCCCCTAAAATACCTCTAATAAAAAAGATATGAACATAAATATGACTATAAGTTACCATGAGTAAGTTTTGTAATCACTACGACATAACATTTGAATAAAATTATAAACACTAAAGTTACTAGAGTCGCATTTTTATCCACAACTTTTATTTTGATTATAGATTTGGAATTATTTAAAAGGCACTTCTAATACTATGATTTAGGTATTCTTGTAGTTACTGTTTTAGAAAAAAACATAATTTAAATTTTAAAACTTGATATAAATTAGAGCAACCAATCAAAATTAATCTAATCATCCAATACACCTTTACAAAATTATTAGCAATTACATAAATATAAGGAAGCTAGAGTAATGTTTCGCAATATTTTGACTTTAAACTCATACATGAGTTTTATGAAAGTTATTGGGTGAAAAACTAAGAGAGTCACAATGTGGAAATTGCGTAAAGAAAGTCACGAAAATCAAATAATCAATATGTGAAGAAAATAAATATTGTAGAGGTTTTTTTGAAGGAATATTATAGAAGTTAACAAAGGAAGGATGATGAATGATATTGAAAATTTAAAATCTAAAATAGTGAACTTTGAGCACCAACTCGATCATCAGAATTGCAAAGGATAGCCGATAAGTTGAATATTGTTTCAAAGTACTAGAGGGAATAAGTGTCATATACTAATGTACTAATATTCATATATACTTAATATATTAAATAATAAATATATAAACTATTAAAATATATAAGTTAATTGTGTGGGTCGGGTAATGGTGCGGGTAACCGTATTCAAATTAAACGGGGCGGGTAACGGGGCGGGTAACGGGGCGGGTAGGTATAAACCCATAACCGCCCCATTACCCGTTTACATAAATCGGGTATTCCCCGCCCCGTACCCGTTACCCAGTCAAAACGGTTTTCCCCATTTTGACCGGTTCGGTTCGGTGCGGGTATCCATCGGGTCGGGTTAAATTGCCATCCCTAATAAAAATGACAGCAAAGAGCTTTTCAATCTGTTACCTCAACCTCAAATTGGATATAGGCATAAGGTATATAGCCTCCCTTGGGTATTGTTTCCTGTCTTTAAGTTTTTTTCGGTCTTTTTTTGCCACCTTTCGAATGTTTTCACAATTTTTGTATAACATAAAACATGTTCACAAGTAAGCCTTGAAATATACTCCGTATATGGGTTCAAATAAAAACTTAATTACAAGTTGTACTCCCTCCGGTTTTTAATAAACATCACATTTTCCTTTTTGAGACGTTCTAAAATAAACTTCACACTTCCTTATTTCCTTTTTTGGCAAAAAAATCTACATCAAAACAGTGCCAAACAGTGTCTCAACAGTGCCAAACAGTGTCAAACAGTGCCTCAACAGTGTACTCTACAGTAAAGTCAAATTTCTTTCCTTATTTTGTGTGAAGTCAAAGTGTGAAGATTAAATAAAACCGGAGGGAGTATATGTTTACAAACTACGCTAAATTTTCTACTAAAGCACAAAAGTTTGATTTAAATATGTCAAAATCTTGATATATAATAAAACAAAGATAAGACCTGGGGAATAACTAACTACCAGTACTGGATGATGATGTAGTAATATTATTAGTAACCATATAATAATAAATTGAGGTCAATAATGATAGTAGTAATAGACGGATGCAACGCCGCTATACTTCATCATAGGAAGTTCAAAGCTATCAGGAAATCACGCCATCTTAAGTTTCATATTGTTTGACAACTTTTACTGACGACCACCGGGTGATTGAATTCCATGCCTCTTGAAATACTCTCTGAATCCATATGCACTAAGATCATGATTGAACTGGAGAGAGAATAAACAAAAACCAAAACATTAGTAGTTACTCAAAGCAACATAATTATTAGCCCAAGGTGAAAATCTTAATTAAGTAAATTTTTGGCTTTCTTTTAACTTGGCCATGAGCATGAAATAACGCAAAAGTGGCGCAAAACAGTCAAATAGACCCAACTACTAAATTGAATTCGGCATGCTAGAAAGCCTCTGAGAATTATTATGGCGCACTCAAGTGCAAGAAGGATTTCATCACTCCTCTAAATTGGTATTCAGCTCCTGAACAAGAATGGCTCACTGGCAGAATAATTGCAGTTGCAGAAATTTAACCAAAATTCTTTGATTTTTTCCAAACACAAATTAAATAGATTGGCTCTGCCATAGTGAAGGCTTCAAAGGCTTTAATACTTAGGACGATACTGAATATTTGAGAGATTCTAAGAGCACACCTGCTTGATACATTCTTCAACATCTTCATTGGTATACTTCACAAAGGTCAGATTTGGATATTTTCATTGTCTTGATCGTTCATCTATGTTCTTTCTACTAGACACCCTCTCCTAGTCGAGACCATGGCTTCACAATTACAGTTTGTGTAAGGTAATGTTCAGCGAGGTAGTGAAGGGAATGATGTAGGATTGGATCCTAAAACATCATTTAAAAGCTGATTTCTCGATTTTCTTGGAATTGGATTGTTATCAATAGAAAAGTGTTAGTAATAGGAAAGGAATAAAATGAATAAATGATGATGAGTTGGGTTGATGATCTGACAGTGTCTTGGTAGTGATTGGTGGGCAGAGATAACTCACCTAAAAACCGGATGGTAACCTTATAATACAGATAGTTTATTCTTCCAACAGACCAATTTCCATTTTGATACTTGGGTTGCAACTTGCAAAAGCATATATTATTGATAGTTCACTCCATGTCTTGTAGATAAGCTCGTGAAAGTTATCATCATTGTAAAGATTATTGCTAAGAAAATGAAAACCAGGTCTTATATTTTGTTGGCCAATAAAAACACACACAAAAAAAAATAGAAACCCTAACAAGCCCATCAACTTGGTCTCTGTCTGACGAATGTGTTATGGTGCCTTCCAGGTTTCATTATGACTGAAACATAGTGGATTCTGAAATCAAGAAAACGGTCAGTTTAGTACATTAAGTTGCACCGTGTGGAGTAAAGAGTCCTTCATCTTGAAATTCAAACGGGTTGGTACATGTAATCGCCTAATCAGTGCTAAAGGAATACTTCTGTTAGATAGCACTGTTACCTTTGCAGAGGTGGCTAACGGTGCAACTTAATGTACTAAACTGACCGTTTTCTCTTCTGAAATCCTAAGGAGGGTGCCCTCAATTAGTGCATTGGTGGATTAGGAATTTTGTGTTATTGAATTACACTAAAATTTAAGTGTTTAATTAAATCCATTTTGGTTAAAATCAGTTTGCTAATACAGCAGACATTTGCGGTTATTTTTTTTACATTCAAAACCAATCTTCACCGCATAACTATTTTATTATCTTCTATTTTACTTGGCATCTTGAACCACCCCTAACTAACGAGACTCTTTAGATTGTACTTCGTATATCGTTTTCAAGTATCTCTATCATTCTGATATAGAAATTGAAGTTCCGAGAAACAAAACCTTTTTCAAATAATAGTAGGAAAGGTAAAACCAAAAGATAAGCTTTAGATCAAAGTCTGAGTTTAAAGCAAAAGGTGTCAAATATTTTTTGTGCAGCATCCACCACATGAATAAAAACAAATACCAGAGTAATATGAAAGCAATCAACTATGTAAAAGAGGATGGTAACGGAATTATAAAGAAAACTAGTTGCTACAAGCACAGAAACTTACAGGTAAGACTTTCACGGAGTATTTTGTTACATTTGGATCAGCAACCTTACCTTGATTAGATGCCTGTTACAGAAAAATAAAAAATAATTCAACTATTTTAAACTAAATAGGTTCGTATCTTATACAACAAACAAGGAGTCAACAAACTATAATGTGAAGTGACAAATATTTCAAACTGCATACGCAGATAAAATTCCTTCCACATATATTGTTCCTTGTTCGTAAAAGTTGTCAGATACTACCTGGCGATTTGACGATTTGCAATGACTTGCCTAAATGTAACATCAGAAAGAAGGTATGATCTAATCCTCGATGAAATCTAAAATTTATTTACTTCTTTGAAATCTGAATATGTAGAAAAAATCAAAATGCAAGGAGAAAATCAATGATGTAATTTATTGTACCTAATTTTAGATCATCAGCATGTCCATGTTTCTGTCAAGGCTAACCACACCACCAATACTTTATTTACTGCGGTTCCATTTTTTACCCCCATCACCAAGTTGGTGTTGGTTCATTCCATGAAAAGGGATTGTGATTCATTAAGAATCATGATTATATTAAATACCCCCTGCCACTCACCAAATGGGTGAAATAACCATTCATTGCAAAACACTACAAAGCATATTGATAAGACTGACTTCATTAATAATTGAAACGTACAATTATTTTGTTTCAGCGTGTAGTGGAATTAATATTAGAATATAGCCTCATTTTAAACATTTTCCACTTTCTTAAGTTAAACATCACTAACTTCTCATTTTTTTCATTTCACTTTGACTAACTGACTTTTTAAAATTATTTGATTATTATAGTGGTCGCCCTATTTAAGAGATAATGTATAAATGCAGTCAAAATACATCATAATTTATTTTTTTCATCAAAAGTTGGATAAAAAGAATATGAACCTAATGTTTTAGGGCAGAGGGAGTGTGATTTTAAAAAGCTAAATATGTGGCTGGGAATAAATTAAAAAAAGGATAAACTAAAGGGGCTGTGAAAATTTGGGGAGTTTACCTTATCCTTGATTTCTTCTTAATATTTCTTGAATATTTTATCACCATAACAAAGCTCCCTTTTAAATAGGGAGTACATGCACGAAAATACCTAAAACAAGGAAAGGGAAATCCTAGCAAATCATTTCCTACAATAGATTAACTAATCATCATCATTATCATTACCCCAGTGCCACAATGGCTCCCACCTACGGTGGGGTGGGGGGGGGGTCGGATGTACACAGTCTTACCCCTGTATTAACTAAACTGTCAAAACAGTTTAGTGAGCCAATTTGCTTTATTCCATCATATTCCCAAGCCAAAAAATAGTGAGTCTTTGGCTCCATGGCAAATGATGGAAAACCTGAAATAGATTAACTAATGAAGGTAATAAAATCAAATGAGAATAAAATCAATCAAGCAAACCAATCAGCAGTCTTTGTATTCTTAAAGGAGACTGACAGTTTGTTGTGTATGTGACCTAAATCAAAGGCGAGCAAAATCCATCTAATCCTCTTGTGAGAAACAATTAAAAACTGAGAGGGTTTTAGTGGACCAAAATGAATCTGAGAAGTCCAAATAGGTCATTTTGAGATTTGAGAACACTTATGAATGGGGCAGTCTGCGTTGTCGGTGTCATAGACATCTTCGGTACTAGGACTCTAGGAGTTTTAGTGGTAGAGAAAGGACTCCGGCAGATGAAGTGTCTACTTATAGGGGTGCTTCTATGTCTGCCAAAGATTCTTTGGATTGAGAAAAGTGGTCAAGCTTGCAATAAAGTGTCAATTGAATCCTTCAATGGCTGCAGTGCTAGTTGCACATTTAACTTGTGAAAGTATCTTTGGCTTGTCAACTTGCGCAGTTCCTTCTGCATCTCTAAAAGGAGCGTGTACAGTGTACTGATCATTGAAAAGCGTGGAATTTCCCATGAAGCAGGCCACGAAACCAAAATTTTAGCGTACCAGGATTCTTTGTGTCACGGATTAGAATAAAACCAATCAAGCAAATCAATCAGCACTCACTCCTCATTACCCAACGTGATATCCCTTTTATCTTTCCATAAAATCATAACATTGAATGCATTAAAAGCCTAAGACATCTCTCCTTCCAACAAACACCGTTTTTTAGGTAAAGGGATTGTGAAAGGGCAGTATTTACTAGAAACACTAACGACCTGTTTGGATGGAGTGTCCGGAGGTGTTAGTAATGGAAGTGTTAGTAAGTGTTGTAAGAGGTCCGGAAAGGAAGGTAAGGGTAAGTGTTAACCATAATCTTACCTTGTTTGGGAGAGTTAAAAAAATGAAGTGTTAGTAATGGAAGTGTTTTCACTTAAATTGACAAAAATATCCTCATGTCATTTTTTTATACTCCGTATAAACCATATCCTCATGTCTTTAAACTACACTCTAGGAAGTAGGAACATTTACAAATATAAAAGAAATGCACACTGAACAACGAAAAATATATGTACTGCTCTACCGAAAAGAATACAACTAAAAAATATACAATTAAATTGGGTTGTTACAAAAGTAAAATAAAAATAAAAAATATAAAGATTGTGATGAGCAGCCGTATACGTATTTGTATGTACGCATACCTTTCTTCACATTTTCATTTGGTTTGCTATTCTGCTACAGAGCACTGAGCCGTCATATATATCCACATCCATGGGCATCTCAAGATTCATATATATACACATGATAGATGGATTTTGCTATACAAATAGGTGAAGAAAATTTGGGGGAAGAATAGACCGCTGGGAACCCTGGAAACCTGGGAGAAAGAAGGAGAACAGTCCGCAGGGGGAAGGAGAAAGTCGGCAAGGGAGATACGTTGGGGTTAAACATTGTCCAACACTTCATTACACCCCAAATTGGGGTGTTAAAAAAGTGATATATATAAGTGTTCGGAAGGTTATTGTTAACACCCTCAAACACTTACTAACACCTCTTATTTTTTCTAATTTTCCTCCCAAACAAGTGTTAAACTAAACACCCCCTAACACTTCCATTACTAACACCCGCTAACACTCAATCCAAACAGGCCGTAAGAACCTATCAAAGGTAATCTTGTGATACTTCTTATATAAAAATGACTTTAATTATACCTAAAATTGCTCACTAGTCACTGTGCCACTCTATTAAAATGTGGGAGGGGGTTAAAATACTATTGATATGTGTGTGCAAAAGATATTATTTAATGCCTCTTTTCCTCTTTGGCAACATCACAGGACGCAATGGGTTCAATTAAGCAACCCCAATTGCATCGCATTTTTAAAACCATTCCTTTGGTTATTCCTTATCAGCTATTTGCGGTGACCATGAGTTCCCTCCGAATTCAGCCACTTAACCATGACAACTAAGCCGTCAATCCAGGCCGAGCCTTGTCATCAATAAGCCCTTTATGGACTGGCACGAACCCTCCTCCCCCCTGCTCCTAGAAAATTAGCCACAGAGAAGTTGGAAGTTGCAGGTGATGACTCTTAGCTTAGAAAGGGTGGAGATGCTGAGGTCAGAACCAATGACAGAGTTGGAAGAGTGGAAGCCAGATGATTGGCAGATATTAATGGCTAGTCATGGTAGCTTATATCATGACCAGATAGCCGTTGGTGCCCAGAAGGCTGTGTGACATCTAGAGTTCTTCAAGATTGATCAATGGCAGGAGGATTCCCACTAGATTTGTAGCAACTTGGGATCAAATGATTGGTGACAGTCTTGAGAGTTATACTGTTCAGTTTCTTGTTTTACTCGTTTATGATAAAGTTTTATTTATGAGTGTATGCATAAAGAAAGATTGAAAATGCATGGATAGATGGCAGCTGCCTTTACTAGTATTCCTAGCACCACATTTGGGAAATAAGCAAACAAGCATATTCGTATAACATACACACACACACACACAATATATATATAGAGAGTAATCTTCCGGTCAGGAATTTCCTGACCGGAGCGCCGTCCGGCCTCCTTCTTTTGGGGGCCTTCCCGGTGGTATTTTTTGCTCAAATTTTTTCTGTATGTTCCTCATCAAGTCTAGTTCATTCATACCAAATTTCAGCAAAAAATTCAATCGGGAAGGTTGTCAAATGATTTTTTCAAATTAACTGGTCCGGAAAATACATATTCCGGACCAGTTAACTTGCAAAAATCATTTGACGACCTTCCCGATTGAATTTTTTGCTGAAATTTGGTATGGATGAACTAGACTTGATGAGGAACATACACAAAAAATTTGAGCAAACAATACCTCCGGGAAGGCCCCCAAATGGAGGAGGCCGGACGGGGCTCCTGTCCGGAATTTCCGGACAGGAATAATCCTATATATATATATATATATATATATATATATATACTGAATACGAATACAGAGAGGGATGTCAGATAGAAGAAATCTAATACTCCCGCCGCATATGTGTATCGCATAGATTGATTTATGCGCACGTACTGATTCGTGAAGCCTTTCTCCTCGGTGAGATTGATATATATATATAGATTTTGGTTCAGGTGAGAAATGCATCTAATGTGAGAAATGAGAATGAATCTCAGCCATTAGATTTACGAAGTTGCACTAACAATGGTTTTATGTTGCACTAATATTTAAATTTTGCAATGTTGCACTAAAACTGTTTCATGTTGCATTAATATTTGACGACGTTGCACCAAAATAGCTTCATGTTGCACTAGACAAGTGTAATACGGATTTTTCTGAAGTATTTACAGAAATGCCACTGTGCTAGATTGCATATTTCAGTGCATTATGAAGTGTCTTTTACTGCAACTTAGTCGAATCCAATGGCTGAGATTCATTCTCACTTCTCACCTAAATGGTTCTTCTCACTTGAACCTTACCCTACATATATATATATATATATATATATAAAGTTGTCTGACACAAGAATTAAGGAATGTAATAAATCAAGCTGGTCTTTACTATTTTGTCACTTTGCCCAAGGTATTTACGTAAATGGAAAGGGGGGTAACAGTAAGGATGTTTTTACTTGGATAGTTATAAATATACAAAGAAACCAGACCAGATCAGACCAGCAAATTACAGTCCAAGTAAAAACATCCTAAGGGTAAGTATGTCACTTTATTCGTCTTTTTGTACATAAAATAGACAGTGGAAAATTATTTTGGGACAACCAAAATAGGAAATTTTGCAAATCAAATTGGAATGAAAGGAGTATAATTTAGAGATCTTGACAAATTTACTTACATGCTCAATCATAAAATTAATCATACGGTCATACCACAAGAGGGTCATGTGCATGATTAATCATACCACAGGAGGGTTTGACACATTTTTTAAATCACAAGTGGCTAATGCACAAAATTTGCATATCGCAAGGGGGTTTGGCCGTTTGGCGCATTAAACCCTGTATTGTTGAAAAACTTTCTGATAAGTAAAACAATTGCTATTCAAATGACAGATTTCATCAAGCTATTTATGCCTCTAGTATAGAGACAATATGACACACTCAAAGACACCACAGTAACAATCATCTTTATATATATATATATATGCATTTATTTGTCATATGTGGGTTGTGTAAACAACAAAGTAAACGGAGTAGCTTTATCACACTCCCACGAAGTATCGAATAGAGGACATACTTGTTCTGGACTGTGAAACATCTCAATGAAAGGGTATTCCTTCTTTTGTCGCGTTATGCAAAATCCAGGGTACTTTGGGCACTCAACCTGAAATTATTACAGAACCGAAACGACAGGAAAATGTATTAATGTCAAGTTCAGAATACTTATGTAAGATTGTGAGAAAAAATTGAGCTTTTATGAAGAACGGGAATCATGGATGCGATAGATGATGGTCATCACAGTAAAAACAGTAATAACAATGACTCTCCTTCTAGGCCTGCAGAAAGCTCGGGTGAACTAAGGGCCTAATATGTTAAACCAAAGCAGGTGGAGGGAGAAGAGAGTGAGTGGTAGCAATACTGCAGATATGAATGCGACTCTGGCCCCTAATGTTATAAGAGGCCACTTACACGTAAAAATTTTACATTAGGATAAAATTCAGCAGCAGCTTCCTCCAATACTTTATCAAGATGTCTTGTATAGTTACCCCTATGAATTCCAGGCACACATCATGAGATTTAATTCGAATTTTAACCAATTGCAATCATAAACCAGGAAGGAGAAAAAATCTGACTGAAAGAATCAAATAGGAATTACTTGATAGTGAATGCAACAACCACAGGATTTCCTTGATGAAGAAGCTGGACGAATTCACGCTCCGATGTAAAGTGAATAACTTTTGATGGCCCAAGATCTTTCGGGTAGCCGGTGTAGTATCTTCAAGTTACTAAAAACGTTTAGATTACTTAGGTCTAAAAAGATAGGTTATACACTTATATTATATGATATCGTAGACCATTTCAAACAACACACGAGTAGTTATCTCCACACAACATGCTTATATCATATCAAAATATCACCAATGAAAAGCCCATGCAACCAAGTCTTTGATACTAAAACAAAATAAGCACATGATGATCATAAACATGACGCTTCAGAAGAAAAAATGGATAATATTTGCATCTGAGGCATACTCACTTGCAAGTAGCACGAAGATCTAACATCAATTTACTTAAAAGGGTTTGCTCCATCTCACTGAAACTAAGATGGAAAACGAAACAGAGAGTAATCATATGAATAGAAGGCACATAACTAGAAGAATGAGATTTGAAAAAAAAAAAAAAAAAAACTGTAACTTAACCTAACATGGGCTCGGGGAGGGGGGGGGGGGGTAATCATTTCAGCGAATCTAGAGTCTCAAAAGAAATCTTTCAAAACCTTGATTTCATCAAAAAGAGCTTTGGAGTCTTTCAGTGAATGTTTGTTCTTTGTTAAAGAGTGGCTTAGTTTTCAAAGTTGTTTGTGTCTAGAGGCAGGGCCGGTCTGTACGCCCAACAGTCTAAAGGGAGGACGGAAAATATAAACTGGGCCTTAATTTTAAAAAATTGTAAATTTATTTTTAATGTGCATATTAATAATATTCAAGACCTTTATAATAAAGAAAAGATTTAAACTCATTAAATTAAATCATGATTTCAAAATAACAAAAAAATACTTAAATACATTTCTTATTGAGCATTGTGAAGTGAAGTCATCAACGATAGAACCAACCTTCAATGGATAACAATAAACCATTAAAAAACAATAAATAATAAACCATTAAAATCAATTAATAAACTAATCAAATAAACCAACCTTCAATGGATAACAATAAACCATTAAAAAACAATAAATAATAAACCATTAAAATCAATTAATAACAATAAACCATTAAAATCAATTAATAAACTAATCAAATAATATTATTAATCAATAAAAGAAAACGTCTAAAATTTTAAAACAGTTAAGCCATTAAGAAATAAGGAAGGACGCCTTACATTTATATAGAAAAACTTGAAATGGAACAAATTAGCACAAACTATTTCAGTTAGTAAAGCCAGTTGTTCATAAAGGATTTAATAAAGCATTAACAATGCACGGTTACCCATTTCAATTTTCATAGCCAAAAAATATGAGATATATGAAGAATTCATGTAATAGAGTTGTTGTGCACTTGTGCAACATACAGCTACCCATAAATCAACATATTCTAGAATTGTAGAGTACAAATCTTAAATAAGATTGAATAATAATGAAGATAGCAAACTTTTCTAAAAAAAATAAGAGCAATCCAAACTTAATATGTTAAGAGAAACTATGAAACATCTAAGTGAGGCCGGAGGAGTACCTGAAGAGTGAAGGCTGAACCCCTGACCTGCTGAAGCGGTGAGGCAGACGCAGTCCGCAGTGAAGCCTGAAGGGTGAAGGAGACTCGGACAGGAAGTGAGCTTGAGGCCGCGACTGCGAGTCGGCGTTCCTCGGTTCCAGCGTTCGCCGGCCGTGAATTCCCAAAGGAAGTCTCCGTAATGCTCTATTTGCTCGGGCCTCAGTTTTTCTGTATTTTTGGGCCATTGGACCCGTTGGGCTGGACAAAATTATTACTAGTACTTTTTAGAACTGAAACACACATTATAAAATTATAAAGAGAGAATTCCCTAAATAGGAGTATCATGTTTTTATTCCTTAAATAGGAGTAAATTTCTGTCAAGTTTGGACATTACAGGGCTTTAAACATGGCATTTTTTCAAACTTGGCAGATTACTCTTATTCGGAGAATAAAAAACATGATACTCCTATTTTAGAATTTCAAAACGTTCTTACTCCTATTTAGGGCAATTTCTGAATTATATACGGAGTAAATATGTAAAATATAAACAAATTTTCAATCCTTTTCAAATTGAGTCGTAGAATCCATTTCTTTGAGTCAAACAAATTCTTAAGCAAATTGGATTTACTACTTGAGTTTAACCAAGGAGAAGCTTTGCAATCTCAGGATCATAATCGAAGTTACTTATAAATGTGTTTGCCACGATATAAAGAGAGTATACTTGCGCGGTTAAACCGTAAGACTTACGTTACGCAAAAATAGATGAATATGAGAATTAAAGTCAAAATCATAAGTGAAATATGTGTGAATGGATGTGTGGTGTGCACGAAATCATGAAATGGTTCTAGATGAAAAGCTGGCACGATAAAAGGTGAATATGACATATGTAGGACGAATTTTCCCTACGGAATAAAAAGAATAGAGAGATATAGAAAAGTAAGTACTAAGAACATTGGCCTAAGAAACTAAAAAAACAAGATTTAAAAAATAATGAGGGAAATGATGGTTGTACTAAGTATATGTATTAGTGAAAGTCAACTGACACCGTGTTAAAAACTATGGGTATCAAACAAAGTGTGAAGATAGCCTTCTCAAGTGCAACTACAAAAGGAACCAAGGAATAAACACAACATATAAAGAACATTGTAAGCACAGTTGTGAAAATCTGCAATTTAAACATTATCATAAATAACTACATTATGTACACTCTATTTTATTCATTCACGTGAAACGAGTGTGCTAATTAATACTCCTTATTTGTTTTCTATTCACATGTTAACATCTGCATGAGTTCCTTTCAATAATTACTACTAATTTTAAAAAAGTTTAGTTATTTTTATTTGTTAATGGAATTGTTTTTATCAGCCATTTACATCCAAAATTTCAGCATCAACTTACATATGTGATCGAATGATATTAAATGATTGTATGCAGTACTATTTTGTTAATAAAAAAAAAACAAAAAAGTAAATTTTAAGCAAATGCGTTTATGCAATAGTCCCACATTTTTTCACATTGATTGCATAAGTTGAAAGCGGGCACCTCTAAAGAAAAATAGTCTGATTCATAGTTTTCATTAACATAAGTTAAGTCTACTGAAATCCAAAAATTCCAGCGAATCCATTCCTCTACATTAATGGAAACATATTATTTTTAGTCTTTGTTGTTCTTATACATTGTCAAATTGTCAAACTATTTAAAATTAAGAATTCCATTGCTTCATTGAATACTAAATGTCAAATATCAATTTTCAGGGACATAAAGTGAAAGCAATGGCGTACAGTCATAAAATTTCTGTCGTTGATGAACGCCTTAAATTGCACAAAACTTATCTTGTTTCAAATGTTATGGTTTCACCTGTCTATCCCAACTTTAGCATTCCAGATGAGCATTATAAGTACATATGGTCAATTAACAAGTGGACCGTGATTCAAAATGTAGCCCCTGCTAATATGATAAACACTCAGGAAGACATTGATATTGTCTCTTCTTCCTTTCCATCCATCTATGATGCCATGATAAAGAAAGCACAAATAAGTAAGTCAAAAAAATTAAATCTCACTAATTATGTTTATTTCAATATTTATTTTACTTATTCATTATTCAATCTCAGCCACAAAAAATGTTCGTTTTTTATGCTACAGAAAAGGTCTACCAAAGGGAGAATTACTGATCAGGCTAAACTTGCAAGTATACAAGTGTCGATATAGTAATAAAATACCGGTAAATAATGGGTTGATCCACAGGGAAATGGTTGATATTATAAAGTTGAGTATTGAATGCAAAAGGAAATGAATGGTATGATTTTTCAGGAACTTTGCTCTTTGAGATTGGTTTAAACAAAAATAAGAATCAATAAGGCAATCGGGATTCACCTAAATGCTTTAATAGTTATTTAATAATAGTTCTTTCCCAATAATTATGAATACGATGTCGCTAATATATTCTCTACTCCGGTAAGGCAGTGAGAGCGTGGTTTTCGTTACGTGTAAGTCTCGTTACGACTTACATTCATCTACTGAAAACCTTGTTGAATATCAAGACATCACACGTGTATCATACAAGACCAGATATATTTCTATTCTCGGTACTATATATGTTAATCTTTTAATGTTCATAGTTTAGACTTCAATGTTCATTGCAAGCATAAACTAAATTTGACACACTTCTATGTTGTACACCATAGTCATAAACAATCAAAATATAAATGATAAATCACAATTTATTGGTTTAGAGCTTTCATCAAACACCTAGTGGGCATAGATGTTCATCCTAGTCTTAGCTAAGAAGTTAGCCTCTAATGCTCATATTAATCACAATACAATAATTGAAATGTAATAGAACGTGATATTACAAAGAAAATAATACCTAAATACCGATGATTTCGGAGTATGAACTTCCCTCCACAAGAACTTGAAGAAAAATAGCAAAAACAAAATATAAAAGCTAGGAACTAATCTATGGAATGGAACGCTTTTGTATGATGAATTAAGGGCTTTATATAGGCTAAAGAATGACATTTTGGTCTATTCGAGTCCAACAATTCGGTATGAAAGAAATATTTGATGAAATCATGAAAAGATGAAGTATTCCCATAAAAATATGGAACACGTCGTTGTGTTTTATGCAGAATCCGACCTAGCCGGCGCCGGTTTCAGACCTTACTGGTGTCAGTTCTTCTTTGCGTACTGAAAAATTATGAGAAACAACATAACCAATGCCGGCTATAAGGGAAGACCGGCGCCGGTTAAGTTACTGGTTTGCGATCTATGTGCAAAAATCATCAGACTAGCGCCCGTTTGGTGCAATTCCGGCGCCGGTTTTGACCTGAGATTTCGGGGATGTTCTGCTACGAATTTAGACATGATTCCTTCATCAAAGTTGTAGATAATGAAGTCCTCTATCTAACAAAACTTTAATGGCGTGATGTTACTCATCCAATCAAAAGATATGGATAAAACATTGAGAGATATGCATCCTAAAATCCCATCAGCAACATATGAGTTTATTGATTGATTGAGTCTCGATCCTTTCATATTGTGGCCATGATATCTTCACAACATTTGTAGCTTATTGAGTTATTATTCACATGAACTTTGAATCGAGTCATTTGAAATTCTCTACAATAAGTTATAATCAAATTATGGGCAGAACGTCATCCTCTTGGTCCCAAAAGCCGTTCATCACAATGTTTTATGCTTTAACTCTCATTCTAAAGATATTTGTCCGATTTCTCTTCTTTTCTTCAACAAATACTTATAAATACTTATGTTAAACACAAGTAAATATAATGACTATCAATTACAAAATGCTTAAAATTTTATTCTTCTTAAGTTATATTCTGTAAGCATAAATATGTTTTCTTCAATTTTCACTACGTTTATGATTTAGTTGAAGACCTTTCTACTAGTAGCTCGCGATATTAAAATTTACACACACACACACACACATATAGGGTTGAGTTCAAGTGTAAGAAGACATGCTTAGGTGAGACATGAGAAGCAATCTTGAACATTTAATACCTCAATCGTGTGGCACACATAATATCTTTTGCATTGTGAAATAGGAAAGAATCCATTATTAACTCATAGTAATTATGGAGTAATTGATGTCAAGGGCTTATTAGGAAAAAGAAAAATACAATAGAAAAGGAAGGTGATGGTGCACGTTAAATCTCAAGACAAGAATTTTGAAATTCATTTAATGCATTAAATGATTTGAAGCCTAATTAAGAAAGAGAATCTGTTTTAAAAAAAGAGGGCTTAATTGAAAAGTAAACTCACGAAGGTAATTAGCAGTACAGCAGAGTTGCACTTGTGTGCATTAAAACATAACATCAAATATGTGCACTAATTTCATCTCAAGGTGCACTACTAGAAGCCATGCAAAATATGCAGTGCACTAATTTCATCTCAAGGTGTAATAATTTCATCTCAAGGTACTAGAAGCCATGCAAAATAATGCCTTCATGCAGTGCATTAGTCACAATATGCAGTACGTGTTTGTATGCAATACCCATGCAAAATAAAATAATATTATGCGTGCAAAGGAGTTTTTTCCCGGAATAATGCTAATTAAATAAATAATTCCCAAAATACTGCCGGGTTAAGAATAATTCCCGAAATACTGCTGGGGTTAACCACGGTTGAGGAAAGCCGTCACTCCAAGTGGTGGCTTTTGTACATCTTTACAAAAGCCGCCACTTGGAGTGGCGGCTCTTCTACATCTGTATGAAAGCCGCCACTCCAAGTGGCGGCTCTTGTGTTACCGAACCTGCTGCAACATTATTTACACAAGTAAACCTGTAATTACCAGATAATCTGCTCATCACAGACTCACAGTCCATTATATCCCACTCAAAAAAACAACCAAACATATGATTTACTAAGACAAAATACACCGAAAACACAAAATGAATCAATGAAACTACATGACAACATACATCCAAAACACAAAACGAATCAATGAAACTAAATATTACGGAGTATGAAACTTTCACAAACCGAATCAATGCACCACAAAATTGAGTATAAACCATAAAAGTTATAATAAATCTGGTGTTTCACAAAGTGATTCGATCTGCCAGTGCATGCTACAACTTTCACACAATAATTTAAATAAAGTTCATAAGTCAACGTGATCATCATCATCATGAAGTTCATGTGGCTGTTCTCGGGGACGCATGCGCTGGTTACGAGGCTGAAGAACAACTCTATCACGTCGGACTGCCTGAGAAGACCCTGCTGCGGATGTAGATGCGGTGGAATGCTGAGAGGTGGCCATATATCCATAATCCACTCGACCCAATACATCAGCGCACAGTGAAACAATGCCTGAACCAGCGTCATGGTATCCCTGTACATCTACCGCCTCATCAAGTATAGCAGTCGCTCTATCATGGATGCTACGCAAAGCTCGTGTCTGTAATGCAAACATGGTTATTAGTGAAAAACACATGAATAAATAAATAAAGATATTTCATTAACTATATCGTTTACCGTCATATGAAGAGCGACTGAGCTAGGCTGGTAATGATCAGTGGGTAAACGAAAACTGGGAGAGATAAACACCCGTGTGATGGTGTAACACCATCTCATTTAGTCTACAGAAGCTGTGGGGACTAATGATGGGATCCCGTCCACTATATATGCCGCTCTCTCATCCCACATAGTGATATACTGAATATGGCGCATCCCCCAATCTCCAGTGTGCTTCCCCCGTCTATCAATCTTGTGCAAATCCACAGATGTATCACAAGGTCCGGGAGTAACCTGCTGCAACCCGAACTGGCGTAGTACGCGATCAGGAAAGTGATGCTCCACTACATTAAAACATATCAAGGGCACACGTGCTCGCCATATCTCAGTGTGCTCTCGGGCAACAGGAGGCAACAGCCCTAGAATCTCATCAGTGTACGGCATCCACGCCATCTATAATATAAAATTATGTTAGACCATGGTTTATAAAAACATAAAACAAAGTACTTACATTTAATGATATAAATGATATACCTGATCATCACACAAGCGATCTAAAGCATCTCGGTAATATCCTAATCCAGCAGCGGATGACGTGCGCGTGACATGAGCAAATAGCCATCTGACACATTGTAATGTATAAGAACATGATGTGGGCCAAGGGATTCACGTACGACATACAAAAAAAATCATAAACATACCTACGACCCAAAGGATCCTCCCCACGAACATGATGTGGGCCAAGTACAACGTGCTGATCCATATCATCATCAAGAGGACCACCATCTACCCCATGATATCGCAGTATGACAGGTCTGCCGATATGAATGTGCTCCCATGACCATAGTTGTATGAGCAATAAAAACTCAACCATCTCTCCACCGTCACGATGGCAACCTTGACATAACTGCCGATATAGGTATGCTAAAGTCGCACTACCCCAGCTATAAACTGCAGCTACATCAAAAGACTCCAGAATGGGTAAATACAAGACCTGCACCTCATTCCCACTCTTGTCCGCAAACGTGGAAGCTCCCATAAGCATCAGAATGTAGGCTCTCGCGTACTGCTGCACAACATCGTCATCAGCATCAGCAGGTAAACCAACAAAATGCTCTCTCAACCAAGCCATCCTCAAGGCGGACCCCCGAATATCTGTCCCAGGGTGTGGCCGTACTCCCAACAATCTGTGTACCAAATCAACCCACAGTCCACATGCATTCCCAGTAACTGCCTGACCCTCGATCGGTAGACCCGCCAATACAGCCACATCTCCTAATGTGATCGTGACCTCACCCACCGGTAAATGGAACGTGTGAGTCTCCTGCCTCCAACGCTCAAGTAGAGCGGTAAGTAATGCTCTATCTATATGCAGAGTCGAAACTAATCTGTGAACACCATAAAACCCAGCTAATCGAACGTAATGTAGAATCCTATCGTCCACCCCCGTGTGGAATATACTGCGTAGGTGCTCACGACACCTATCTACCTGAACATCCAGGCCACGCCACACATCCTCACTCCGATGCGTGGCCTGAAATGTCAGGACTGAAGGATCAATCGGTCCGGGATCCACTGACACCTGCATCGGCGCTGTAAAAGTAATAAGTTTATTAGTTATTTTATTTTATTATTAAATTAAAATTATTTATTTTTTAATATTGCTAATGCATTTGCGAATAGAAGAACAACATTACCCAGTGGAACTCCCTACGTGTCCCTCCGATCTTCTAGCACATGTCGTCTTGTTATGCCCTGTTTGCTTGCATTTACCGCATCTCACAGTACCTTTAGGGCCTTCATCCATTTCATTTCTCAATCGTTTAGCCTTCAGACGACCTTTAGCGCGAATCATCGACGGGTCATGCACAACTCGTGGTCCAGTGTAAGTAGGTCGATATGCTATATCTGGTATGGGCTTAAATACTCTTTTATAGGAAGCCGCATACTCCGATGAAGAAAAAAATTTATCAACAAAAGCATCATAGGACAAACTACGGTGTCTGCATACCGCTAATATATGTGAGCAAGGAATCTTATAAATATTCAGCTTTTGACATGTGCAATGGCGACGGTGCAAATTCACCGTTTGTTTTCTGCCACCCTTCCCCACGGTTCGACCACCACGACCCGTCTCCACTTGGTATAAACCATGGCCTATGTCAAATATTGTGACCTTGTGATGCTTTGCCTTTTCCATATTTTTCACTATCAGTTTGGTCACTTGCTGGCAGTAGCGATGCCCTTCTGCTAATCTTCTCTTACTAGTTTCTCTTCTTTCCACAAAATAGGCATTCACACGATAAAATGATAACTCAACTAAGGCGGTTACAGGCAGGTATCGTGCACTCTTCATGACACTATTGAAAACTTCAGCCATGTTCGTTGTTGTGGTGCCATACCTGTACCCCCCGTCGTGGTGTAAAGACCACTTCTCCAAACCAATGTTTGCTAGATATTCTCGTGCTTGTGCCTGCATTTCGCCTATCTTGTTAAATCCACCATCAAATTTCTTCTTTTGACGTTGACTTGCTGTCCAAATGAACAGATTCTTCAAGTGAATGTCTTTAAATTGAGTGTGCAGATTAGAAGCGACATGCCGTATGCAAAGCCTATGTCTTGCATCTGGCTCCTCCCATCCACCACCTACCTCATTAAATGCCTTCATAATTCCAGCATGTCGATCTGAAATAACACACACTTCTCTGCGTGTGATAAAATGACGTATGCACGCCATAAACCACGGCCAACTCTCTCCATTCACCGATTCACAGATAGCAAACGCCAAAGGGAACAGTTGATTATTAGCATCACTACCCATTGCCACCAACAATGAACCTTTATACTTCCCATATAAGTGTGTTCCATTGATGGTTAGTAAGGGACGACAATGTTTAAGGCCCTTAATGGATGACTTAAATGCCAAAAAACTCTTTGAAACTGCTGAACATCAGTGGTACCTAAAAGATGGAGAAAATTAGGAGGACAAATTTAAAATGAAATTTAATATGATACAATAATGATATTAATAACTCATTGGTACCTGAAAGAGGTGGGTACCAATGCACGACTGTCCTTGGATTGGAATGTTGTAATGCCGACATGAAATGAGGCAATTCAGAATACGACGCCTCCCAATCTCCAAATATTTCACCGATAGCTTTTTGTTTAGCCAACCAACTTCGCTTGTACGAAGGTATATAGCCGTACCTTTCCTTCATAAGCTGACTAATAGTGCGGACTTTTAGTGATGGATCGGTACGAAGAAGATCAATAATTTCATGGGCTATGAACTGAGCTGTGATACCAGCATGGTCATTGTTATCGACGTTACCTACACAAGTAGGTATATGAGGACCTTCATAACGAACAACTTTGAACATATCTAGCTTCTCATGTTTCTTAGTAGCCCGGATCCGCCAAGTGGAGCCACAGTCTTTTCTCCTCTTACACTCTGCCACCCATTTGTGTTTGTCAGACTCTACAACTGTTAAAAATTGGTTCCTCTTTACAGAGTATGCTCTAACCATGTTGATCAGTTGTTTCTTATCATCAAACTCTTGCCCAACCTCAAACTCACCATCTACAGAAAAGCGACTAGAAGTTATAGAACCCTTCCATGATTCATCAAATCCCGCAGAGAGCTCATAAACTTTAGTGTAGTGGCTGGATGGAGCATTGCCACTTACGAGATCACCACCATCTTCATCTGAATCTGTTAGTGTGTCATGGTTCACATTTTCATCTGCATCGTCGTCAGTGCACTGTGAATCCAGAAACGTTGCATCACTGTTCACGTATCTCCCATTCTCCTGTGTAACCATATTCATCACAACTGGAACACTTGTGGATGGGCAAGATAATGCCAGGTTGTCAGGTTGTATGGGCAACGCAGTTGCTTCTTCAACATATATCTCCATGGTATGCATACTAATATTCTCAATTAAAGTCCACATTCCCGTAACGGCTTCGTCGTCAGCAAGAGGCATCAACAAGTATGATCCACCATGAATGTGATATTTAACCTTCAAATCCAACTTGTTCATACGATTGATGGATGTGGCGGTATAAATTTTATTCATTAATTCAGCCACATCCATCCCACGGGAAACAAGAATTATCTTCTGATTCCCCCTTTCATAATGAATTCCGTTTGACTCCTCGATAATATTTCCTCCCCAATGACAAACAATGGGGAAGTTTGCAGACATATTCTACCAAAAAATCAATCCAAAAGAACTATGACGTATGTCGCTATTTGAAAATTCAACTACAATTACTTTAATTCAAACGAAGTGCATTAAATCATATATATCATTTTTATTATTACATTAAATTAAAAAATAAGACAGATACATATTACGATTTCATACAATTCCATTCAAACTGTAAAAGGCTAAAAAAAATTAGAAATAACTTTGTTTGGATGGAATCCAGGTTATTTTTTTCATGTCAAAAAAAATAATTTTCAAAGCAAAATTCATGCAGCAGCTGCTATATACGACAGTAGTAGTGGTAGTATCACCAAGCACACTGAAAAAAAATACACACAGGGGGCAGGGGGGCAGAAACTGCTTAGCTGCTTATTCCTCTTAATGCTATTTGATAAAATATATTTAACAATCTAAAGCCATTAATAAACCAGTAAACAACAACAATTTCAAGCAAAGGAACAGCAATTTCGAGCAAAACAACACCAATTCCAAGCAATAACAAAAAAAACCTAACTTTAGCAAAAATGGTGAAATACCTTGATTCAAACGGTTGAAAGTTGGTATAATGGAGCACAAACACTCTAGCTTACACCGTGTCTCTTTTTCCCTTTGATTTCACCTTCGTTTGGACGGAATCTGGCCGGAGCTGCAAAGTGGTCGTCGTTTTTGAGTCGCAAGCAGAGGGGAGCGTTCGAGCTTCTGTCGACGTTCGTCGTCTGAGGAAAGGGGGTGTATTTGGGTTTTAAATGAGCCGCCACTTGAAGTGGCGGTTTTTGTATAGCAGTAGAAGAGTCGCCACTCCAAATGGCGGCTTTTGTAAAGATGTACAAAAGCCGCCACTTGGAGTGGCGGCTTTCCTTAACCGTGGTTAACCCCAGCAGTATTTCAGGAATTATTCTTAACCTGGCAGTATTTTGGGAATTATTTATTTAATTAGCATTATTCCGGGAAAAAACTCTATGCAAAGTGCATTTTTATTACATTTCATTGCACTAACATTAGATCTTCATGCACTACATCGACCAGTGTATGCAGTATCAGTTCACTACATCAGCAACTAAATGCAATATTTATTTCGCTGCAAAATAATTTTTTTTTTGAAAAGCTTAAATTATTGAAGAAAATGGAGAACACAATTGAAGAAGAAAGTGTCATTTTAATACGGATAGTAAGCTTAACAATAAAAGCTTGGTCAACATAAAAAAGAAATACAATACGTGCATTAAGTTCATATTGGAATTCAATTAATGCTAAGTGGGAAATGCCTAACTTGTCTTTGTTGCTAACGTAATAGTGTTTAAGATCTAAGGGTGTAGATTGCTTCTCATTTATCACATTAGATGAATTTCTCATCGGAACCAATACACACACACAATAAAAAAACTCTAACAAGGTGTAGGGAAGACGGCCGCTCCCCGAAAGAATCGATAGCGGAGAAGAAAACCCTTCCGACGGAATTCCATCCTAGAGAGACAAGGTCTCAATAAACATATTACCGAAGGCCATCCATTGGGAGGCAAAACTTTTTAAATAACGTCTCATATCTATTTTTCTAAAATGGCTAAAGGGTCAAATAGGCCATCGAACTAACTTAAAAAATGCAATTCACCCCATATATAGAAAGGCTATGTCCGGTCGTTGCCAATTGCGGCGGTTCCCCATTTAATTTTTTGATGAATTTTTTTAGCAAGTTCTTCATTAAGTCTAGTTTACTCATATCAAATTTCCGATAACAATTCAACCGAGAAGACAGTCAAATGATTTTCTGAAATGTATTGCACTGTTTAACTGTGCAGTTATCTTCAAAAATTCATTTGATTGCCATCCCGATTGAATTTTAAGCTAAAATTTGGTATGAATAAACTAGACTTAATGAAGAAGATGCTCAAAAAAATTCATCAAAAAATTCTATCAGGAACTGCCTCAATTGGTGAGGCCGGAGAGAACCTACTATAAAAGGGATGAATTGAACTTTTTAAGTTAATTCGAGGGTCTATTTGACCTTTTGCCCTTAAAAAAGGGTCTGGTAGCTTCTCGTGCCACGTGCCTACCTCCTTCAAGAAATACCATTAAGAGGAGTATTTATTCAGGAAACATCACAGAATAGTAAAACAAATAAGATTGCCATTAACCTGTAGTGATAATTCATTAATTTGTCATAATATCAAACATTCAAACCCCATGCCTCTACGAGGCTGCCGTGTACTCAAAGCCATCTTTCTTTCTGAGTTCCGAGCTAGCTCATCGTTGTCCGTATATGTTTCCGTAAGAAATGAAGACTAATCTCTCTCAAAATTAGTCGATTTCACAGCGTTTTCTACTCCGATTGACCGGCCGAATAACCTCGATATGATTTCCTCCTTTTTGGCTCAAGAAATCATACGATTCTCTCAGATCTGTACAAACCGTATATATCCCGCAATTCACTTTTAATTTTCAGAATTGCGCGTTTTCCGTTCTCTTTAATCTTTAATTGTATTCTTCTAGCATTTGAAACGTGAAACAGAAAATTCCTCTGCACATAATCGTCACAATTCTCAACCTAGGGATTCCTTGGGGTGTGAAAAGGCTGGGTTTGCTTCATTTCAATTCATCTGAAAGTTGAGCTTCGATCTGGTGAGTCGATGGCGGTTCCGACGATGGCACTGTACGCAAGCCCGGCGAGTAACGTGTGTTCGACGCCGTATTCCAGTCAAATCAACTCGCACGACTTCGATTTAAACGGCAGGCCATCGCCGTCGACGTCGCAGAAACCAGTCGTCGGGGGGTTGTCGTGTTTATTCTCCTCACAATCGGTGAAACACGGGTGTGCTTCTTCGAGTTATTCAAGCGGAGCAGAGGATTTGGGATCTCTGAGGCACGACAGAGGCGAGGAATTAAGCAGCTCTTTTCAGTGCTCGTCTCTGAGCTCATCATCGTTGAAGCTAGATTATGCTCATCAGAGCCCTATTTCCGTGCTTCAAGGTCCGGGGAGCAGTGGTAGTGTAGGGATCGGGTCTTGTTCTAAGAGTCACTCTAAAAGGTTTGTTGGAGATTTCTGCTCAATTCGTTATGGAAGTAGTAACTTGTTTAATAGGTTTGTTAGACACGCATTGGGTTCTTGCGTGGACTATATTCAGGATTTGGATTCTCCTCCTCCTGGTCATCTAGATGAACTACCATTTAATATGGACGATAGCTTTGGTAATTCCAATATGGAGCCCTATGCTAAAGAGTTGCTTTTGGTTGCACAAACAAGGCATGAGATATTCCATGAAGATCTTGTTGTCAAAGCTTTTTGTGAGGCAGAGAATGCTCACAGAGGCCAGGTGTGAGCTTTTATATTACTGTACATTTTATTTTCTTCACAATATGATAAATTCAAGATAAAGCCTTTTGAATATGTGAAGACATGATGATATTCACAAATTTGCAGGTAAGAGCTAGTGGAGATCCTTATTTTCAGCATTGCATCGAAACTGCTATATTGCTGGCAATGATAGGTGCCAACTCAACTGTTGTTGCGGCAGGTCTTCTACACGACACACTTGATGATACATTCATGACATATGACTACATATTTCGGATATTTGGAGCTGGGGTTGCTGATTTGATTGAAGGGGTACGAGGATTTCACTACAATCTCTGTAAACTCAGTGTAAATTCTGTATTTTGTATGGGGAAGATAGAACTTGAATGCGATTTTGGTTAACGTATCTTCAAGGGGTGGACACACCTCATCCGAAAAGGATCCTCATGGGCTGATTCTTAAACCAATACACAACTGGGATGGACAACTACAGGGTTGAACACTATCACACAAGCCTGGCTATAATCCACAATATCTTTATCTCTAGCCTATCCAACCTTATTGGACAAGGTTAGAGTATCCCACATCAGAAATTTACCCACATATCACCCACCATATGTGGGTAATACCTTTAGAACTTTATTGTCTTAGTTTAGGTTGAGAGTTGAAACTTATACCTGATAGTTGGATACTTATATGTATTACGAAGTACTTATTATTAGGCTTATATGACCTATTTAAAACAATGTTTAAAATTTATCAATAAATATTTTTCACCTAAATCTTTGGAATGTTGTCCACTGATGCATATTTTCATTTATTGCTATGTGAATGGAATGTGAGGGATAATGTGATTTTATTTGGCTGGGAATCGAATATATCAAGTTTTTTTATAGTGATCACCGGTGGGCTTTCAATAAACTTTTGACATGGTTAATCAAACTTTTGACATGAAAAGTCATTAGATAAACTTGGTAACCTGACATAAGTCTAAAACTTTTATTGCCTCCGTCTAGAGAAATGTCTTGTAACCTTTTAGTTTTGGTAAGGTACAACTCTGAGAAATCGTGAAATTATACTTATATTTGGAAATCTAATATAATTGTGAAAAATGTATACGGAGTGTTTTTTATAATGCTTCATTCAGTATGATTTTTATGCCTTTCATTTTTTCCTTTATGTCTATACTTGTTTGTTCCCACTGCACAAACTAACTTTCACCTTCAAGCACCATTATTCTACTTCATTTTTTTATTACTAAAATCATCAAAATTTTCCAATATTTCAAGGTTTTCCAAAACAAAGTTTCCCTTAACCGGGTATTTTCACAGACACAGCCCCCCTACTCCCAGAGCTAGAGGTAAGGTTTATGTACTGCTCATGCTCCCCAGCCCTAATTCTGGTAGGGACTGACTGGGGCTGTTTGGTTTGGTTTATAATTTTATTTTCCAAATTAATTTGTTGGTTTAACTAAATTTATCATATTTACCGACTTGTTTGTGATAGTGTTCTGGGGTACATGAAAAATAACTCTCTTTTATCAAATTGGACTTCGGAGAAAAAATTGTTTGAAGTACCACTTTTTCTTTTAGGACTAAAGGAGTAATTGCTTAATATTGTGATGTATAAATATGATTCTCAATCATATTATTTTGTTAAAATCATTCTTTCTTTTTAGGTTTCAAAGCTTAGTCAATTGAGCAAACTTGCACGGGAGAATGACACGGCAAATAAAGTTGTTGAGGCAGATAGATTGCACACAATGTTCCTTGCAATGGCAGATGCCAGGGCAGTTCTCATAAAACTGGCTGACCGGCTACATAATATGATGACCTTGGATGCTCTAACTCCGATAAAGCAGCAGAGGTTTGCCAAGGAAACGTTGGAAATATTTGTCCCGCTGGCCAACCGATTAGGTATCTCTAGTTGGAAAGAACAGCTTGAGAATCTCTGTTTCAAGTATCTTAATCCTGTTCAACACAAGGAGCTGTCTTCAAAACTCTTAAAGTCCTTTAACGAGGCCTTAGTTACTTCTGCTGTTGAAAGATTGGAACATGCATTGAAGGATGAAGACATTTGTTATCATGCTCTCTCAGCGAGGCACAAAAGCTTATACAGCATCCACCGCAAGATGTTAAAGTACGTACTCTATTACAAAAAAGAACCATACCTCTGCCACAAAATAAGAGTCCTGTTTTAAAAGATTTTCTTTTTTCATGAAAAAAGAACCCCTTTTCAACAAAAGAAACTAAGTTTTGTTGAATTTGATTGCCTTCAGGTAGGCACTTTTCGACCCATCAGTCTTTTCCCCCCAAAAAGCTAATTTATTTGACAGCCCAGTGCCCACACTGAGTTAATTTTTAATTAAGAGAAGTAGGGCTAAAGGTACTTTTTTGGTTGAAGTTGGTCAAGATGAATAAAATGGGTGCAGCTCTGTGCACGTTGGTGTCCCCGCAAAGCAAGGGTCTGCCCGATCCGGGGAGGGTCCTACCACAATGGCGTCTCGTTATCATTTTGACAAGAAGCCGCTTCTAAAACTTGAATCTGTGACCTCTTGGTCAAGATGAATAGTTTAACTTTTTTGATAATTTTTTCCCTTTATTGTATGAATGAATACCACATAATAATTTTTTCCGTGATCTGTCAAATTCATCACTACCCCCCATAATTACAGTAGTTTCACCCAAATTCAGACATACCAAACAGGCTCTTAGTTTTACTTTTCAAAAAAGAGGTCTCCAAAACTAGATGAGTATGCTTAATTTTTTAACAAAAAAGTAAAGTATAAATATAAGTAGGGTGGTTAATTTAGAGGAGCTTTGTCCAACTTTCCCTTGATGAAACAAGACTCTTTTTCCAGGATGGAGGTAGTAATACATATTGCTTTGAAATCATTATTATGCACAGGTACTAATGTCTTACGTTGTTCAGAAAGAAGCTCAATATGGATGAAATTCACGATATTCGTGGGCTGAGGTTAATTGTTGAAAACAAGGAAGACTGCTACAAAGCTGCCACGATTGTCCACCAGCTATGGCCTGAAGTACCTGGAAAGTTTAAGGATTACATTCTTCATCCCAAACTCAATGGGTATGCATACTCTTTCTAACATCCAAACCTTAGTCTCGAAAGAGTTTTTGGTCGGCTAACATGAATCAACATATGAAATAAGAGTAAAAAAAGGAGACAAACGAAGTGTCCAAAAAAGAATGATGTTTTAAAAGTTCTTGTGTGCTCTAAAAAGTTTCCCGTTTGGTCAAACAGCGTTAGTTTTTCATGTAATTTCCAACTACTCAAATTACTAACTGGCTCAATATGATAAGTTCATATAAACCAACAAATAAGTTCTAAAAAATGTAGGATTTCATGGCTTGAAATAGATATACCTAACAAAAGTTAGGAGTTATACATAGTCTAAACTAGAGTCACTTTTTTGGGACAGGGGGAGTATATTGATCGGATGCCTTCTATTTTTCTAAATACAATGTTGTTTGTACAAGCCATTTTACACGCCAGCCGAATTGTTTGGCGTGTACAATAAACGGGTACACGAAGCATGATTGTTTTTCTGAAGCTGTATAAAGTTTATAAAATCCTAATTAACGTTTAATTTGTAGGTATCAGTCTCTACACATGGTAGTTTATGGGGAAGGAAGGTTGCCATTTGAAGTCCAGATTCGAACGAGGGAGATGCACTTGCAAGCAGAGTGTGGTTTTGCAGCTCATTGGAGATACAAGGAGGGAGATTGCAAACATTCTTCCTTTGTGCTTCAGATGGTTGAGTGGGCCCGATGGGTTGTTACCTGGCAGTGTGAAACAATGAGGAAAAACCATTCTGAATCCATCAAACCACCATGCACGTTTCCTTCTCATTCTGAGGATTGCCCATACTCCTTTATACCCGATCGTGGGCATGATGGACCAGTTTATGTGATAATGATTGAGAATGAGAAGGTTCGTTTTTGACGTTTCAATATTTTTTTATACTTCTTACAAATTAATTGAGCATTACAAGTAGCTCAACGAATCACGGACAATTATATCCTCAAGTATAATATGGAGTAATATTTTCTTGTGCCAAATTAAAATAAAATGAAATTCCAGGAAAAAGTTTAGAAAGTAAATTTTCCTGTTAATTGTTGTAGCCTTAATTGTAATTGTGAACTGATTTTTTGGAGCAACACTTGTTTGGGCAGATGTCCGTCCAAGAATTTGCTGCAAATTCAACCGTTATGGATCTGTTGGAGAAAGCGGTTCGCGGGTGTGGTCGATGGATGATGCCTTATGGGTTTCCGGTGAAGGAAGAGTTAAGGCCACGGTTAAACCATAAGCCAATTATGGACCCCACATGCAAGCTGAGAATGGGGGATGTCATAGAACTAACCCCGTCCATATCTCATAAATCCCTAATAGAATACAGGGACGAGATCAAGCGTATGTATGACAGAGGTCCAAATGTGGCGACTTCTGGCTCAACCATGGCTGGTTCAAGAAGTTGACCATAAATTCCTCTTCTTCTACTCATGATGTGGAATTGTAGCAAGTATGTCATAATCATGTATGTATATAAACTGTAAACGGTAAACCACTTGTACATAGGTGTGCATAATGTTATTAACATATATAATATATATGGTAAGTGGATTTAGAAATGCTCTGGTTCATGCACTACATTTCTTATAGCGTCTATTGGTTAGAGTTGTCCCAAGTAACTCTTTGTTTTGAGATAATCTTGTTGCTGCTATTGAGATATTACAAGAATGTGAAGTGTTTTGTTGGAACTTGGAACTCTATGGACGTCTCATATTAATGGGTTTGGTTCCCAAAAAGGAGAACCGTTCTGGCAATACTTTTGAATGTACATTCTTCAAGTCTTGAAGGCCATTCATTGTAACTTGTATTCTTAATTTCTTATACTAGACTAATGTATGACTTTTTGACTTGGTAATTTATATCAAGAATTAGTTCTACTTGAAAAATATGACTGGTTCGTGGAAGAAAGCACTTTTGAAAAATAAGGGTAATATTATCCCATTAATATATTTTTTTTGGACAATTATCCCATTAATATTATAACTGCAATTTGCACATATTCATAGGGAACTTGATGTAATACCCATGTCTCGCGCACTCGCACAGGTTGTGTTTAAATGTTTAATTTATAAAAATTATAAAAGTAAATAACTTTTTTAACTGCAAACTTCAAACAAATTATTATTGCTTAATGTTGATTGTTGAAGCATGAGACTCTTTTCATAGAAGCAGCTTGATTATTTTAGATTGTTCAAGAGAGTCCAACAATAGAGAATACAAAGGGATGATTAACCTGTCTAAGCTATAAATAAGATGCTGAAAATCAGTTATGTATCAAAAAAATCATCAATAACAATTCTCACATCTCCATTTCTTCCCTGCTTTCATACTACAATCCATCACTTAATAATAATTCAATGACATCATACCCATGTCGTATACATTCTTAGCATCTCCTTTCGTTTTTCTTGAATACGAGCCCGTTTGGAGACCTCTTTTTTCGGCTTATCAGGCTTATCAGCCAGCTTTTTCACCAAACACGTAATTTTACTTTCGCGTGCTGAATTGTGTAATAAGCAGAAAAAGTAAGGTTGAAGTTACTTTTCTGGCTGTATTGGCTGAAGTTACTGTAGATGACCATTTTAGCTATTTTTACATGTAATTTTTTCTTTATTTTATTAATAAAATATATTTTTGAAATATTTTTTTCTAGATACAACAGAATCAGCCAAAACAGCCACTTCAGCCAGAACTTCATAAATTTCAGCAGAAACAGCCAAAACAGCCGATTTTCGTGCTACCAAACGGGCTCTACAATTCTTAAAGTTTATTTATAGCCATTAGCCAAAGATCTACAAACTGAAAGGTGAGACTGGGCTGGCCAATTCTCAGTTTTAACAATTCCTGCACTTCTACATCATTAATGAACAAATTTTCATCTACTTCTACAATAAAGTTATAAAGGTGTCAAGTTCATGATGTCATAAAGAAAAAATGAACCGCAAAGCTATGTTAGTAGCCTACGGACAACCGCCCTCACTACACCTTCCTTATGTTAGTGGGGATAGCTCGGTAGAGGCAGTGGATCGTAGCCTAAAAGCTAGAGAAGTTCCATTTAAAAAGAGCTCAAGATAGAATGAAGGTACAAGTTGATAAACATAGGACTGACAGAGAATTCCAAGAAGGAGATCTGGTCTATGTGAAATTACAACCTTATAGACAGCAATTTGTAACCCAAAGAAGATGTTAAAAGCTAGCTTCCAAGTTTTTTGGTCCTTTTGAAGTACAGAAACGGGTTGGGAATGTAGCCTACCCTTTGAAACTTCCAGAAAGTGCTAAAATCCATCCAGTCTTCCATGTGTCCCAATTGAAGAAACATCAGGGAGACCATCCAGTTTCTAGTACTATACCAAATTTAGATGATCAAGAATTGATCAAGGTGGAACCATTAAAAGTGCTAGAAAGGAAAATAGCCAAAAAGGGAAATGCTGCAGCAGTATACCGGCTGATATAATGGGCTAACGGTAATAAGGAGGATGCTACATGGGAGGAGTATGAAGAGTTAATCAAACTTTACCCAAATTTTGTAGTTGCAGTCCAACAAGCTTGAGGGCATAAGGGGCGTGGATTGATATGTAACTATGGTGGTTGAGACAGTTAGGCGAGCCAGTAATAATCAGTTGGACAGGTAGTTTGTTAGTAAATAAACGATCCAACTGAATTAATATAAAAAAGGCTATAAATAAGGCCTTCGGCCATTTTTGCACATATGCCTGCTGTGATAACACAGTCCCTCTAATGCAATTCTATTCTCTTCGAATTCTTTTCTCCTACTCCATACCTAAGTTCTTGCCTTCTTGGAACATATTCCTAGACTATAGCACCAGCCTTCAACAAATGCTTTGGTTTTCGCCGTCACCTGCTTCCCGTCCACCTGCAAACTGTGCCAAGGTATCCGAGATAAACCTTTCAAGCTCATCCTTCTTTAGCACCTTAAAGAATACTTCCAGCCATTCCATAAAACCATGCGTTGAATGACCCACCCTCATCTCTAGCTACTCGGTAATTAACAAACAGGTGAAGCAGCGATTAAACACCTTCCTCACCACAAAGACCACATCAAATGTCACATGCTGCTCCACTACATTTCAGTTTTTCGCTTGTTGGAAGGCATCCACAGCTAATTGCCAAAAGAAAAACTTAATTGTAGGGGGTTAGTTAAAATGCCACATAGATGTCCAGCCCATGTTAACAGCTTCTAGACTTCTTATATTAACTAGATTCTTAAGATATTCCTAGAGGTCTAGAATAAACTATCTAAGTAAAGTTTATTAAATTCTAATTAATGTTTACTTTGTAGGTATCAGTCTCTACACATGGTAGTATACATAGAAGGAATGTTGCCATTCGAAGTCCAGATTCGAACGAAGGAGATGCACTTGTAAGCGAAGTGTGGTTCTGCAGCTCATTGGAGATACAAGGAAGGATATTGCAAACATTCTTCATTTGTGCTTCAAATGGTTGAGTGGGCGCGATGAGTTTTTAAGAGAGTTTTACAAGCTTATACGAACACATCAAGCAAGGAAGAAAGTATCAATCAATGACCCGTCTTCTTAGCTCACCCTACTTTTCTAAACGCCTAAATATTCACATTCATATCTTTTGAACTTGGTTAGTTGGATGTTTGGTATCCTTTTATGATCTAAACTTGTTCTAAACTTGTGAGAGTTTCGTGATCAATCTTGAGTGTAGAAAACAAGAATGAGTAACTTTTAGCAAGTCAATGCTATTAGTGAAACAACGATAAGATTGAATAGCTTGAAGTGGTTTTGATCCTCGTGAAAGACTTTCAAGTCTAATCGGAATTCTTGATCAAGGTTAAAATATACACCTAGGACATGTTTGCTTTACGAGTTACTAAACAGTGCTTAATAAGACCCGTGTTAATAAGCGGCACATAAAATAAGCAGTGTTGTAAGCTCATGTTTACTTCAAATGATTTAAAACACCGTTTAACATTAAAATGTCCAAAATAACCATATACATATATAGACACACAAACATTCATAAACAGGGACGGATCCAGGATTCTGAGTCAAGGGGGGCGAAATTTTTCGTTAGTGTAGGGGGTGAATTTTTTTTTTGTTAGTGTAGCGAGGTGAATTTTTTTCCCCTAGTATAGCGGGGCGAAATTTTTTCGCTACTGTAGGGCTATGCGGCTATTTTTATTCAAAAAATGACATTAATACATGCACATCCCGAACGACATTTAAATCTATTACATTCTAAGTTTAGACGATGACAAAGACATCAACCAATACATTTTCAATAACTTCTACATTGTTTAACCTCATGAATCGGTTATTGAATTGTAATTTTTGTCCACCAAGGAGAGTGTCCGTGAGTCATGACTCATGAGAAGTTTTCTTAATATTACAATAGTAGTATACTAGTATGTATGGGATTGTTATTTTTAGAATAATATGCACCACATACACACACACACATATGGTGCATATTATATTTTAATATTTTTATTAATTCTATAATAATTTAGAGTTTATTATCCATGCAATAAATTATTTTTAGAAAGCAAGAAGTAAATGAATTATGTAATCTAATGTCTATAAATATTTATATTTTGGATTCATTTCACGTGATCTAAAAATTGTGTAATTAGTGTGTCTGGTATTTAATATTGTTTGCTATATGTTTTACGAAATCCAGTACTTGTTATCTAATAAAGATAATTAAACATTACAAAACTAGGAATTCTTATATAATAAGTATCCTAAATCTTAAATAACGAGTTACTCTATTTTTTATTTGTTTAAGTTATGTAAATTATTTTAGATGTTTCTTCTTTTAAATCTCAATTAAGTATTACATTATGTAAGACTATATATATTAATTTTGAAAATTAAAAGCTAAGGGGGGCGAATCTAATTAAATTATGAAAGTTTTATGAAAATATTACATATATGGTAAAAAAAAATTGAATGTCCAAGGGGGGCGGTCGCCCCCCCGCGCGCCCCCCCCTAAATCCATCCCTGTTCATAAACACAAATATATAATATAATACGTGAGGGTCACCTCATACGCGTACCCGCCCTCTATACTCGTACCTCCACCCCTATCCCACCCTACCCCTACCATGACCTTAACCTCTACCCACACTCCCTACAACCCCGCATACTCATACTCCTAACCCTTAACCCCTACCCTAGTCGTAGGGGTGTGGTTGGATTGAGGTAGGGGTAAAGGGGTAGGGTCCATGGGGTAGGGTTGGGGTATGGTAGTGGTAAGGGGGTGGGGATGGGGTAAGTAGAGTAGGGGTAAGTGGGGTGAGGTAACGGTCGGGTCGAGGTAGGGGCAAATGGTGGTGGTGGGGGGGGGGGGGGGGGGGGGTAAAGGGGTTGGGTCCGGTGGCGGGTAAGGGGTGGGGTCGAGGCAATAGCAGATGGCAGGGATAAAGGGGCAGGGTCGGGGCAGGGTCGGGGTAGGGGTGGGGGGGTAGTGGTCGGGTCGAGGTAGGGGTAAGGTAAGGGGTACAGGTGGGTGGTGGTGGGGGGTAGGAGGGGGTAGTGGTCGGGTCGAGGTAGGGGTAAGGTAAGGGGTACGAGTATGGGTACGGGTGGGTGAGAGTAGGGTAAGGGTATGGGTATGGGGGTGGGTTGGGGTAAGGGGGTGTGGGTGGGGTAAGGGGGTGTGGGTAGGGTAGGGGTAAAGGGGTGGGTCGAGGTAGGGGGAACGTGGTAGGGGTAAAGGGGAAGGGTCGAGGTAGGGTACGGGGGTGGGGTAAGGGGTTATGGTCGGGAGGGTAGGGGTGGAGGTCAGGGGTAAGGGG